ATAAGCTGCTTATATAGCCAGGTAATGACTGTGTGAGAGCAGTTTGAACTAAGGAATGCAGTGTTGTGTAAAGGAAAGACACTGAGGCTATTCTAAGTAATAAGTGGAACAGATATGATTATATGATTATAAATAATTATAACTCTTAGAAATTCAGACTCTTCATAAACATATGTGGTCAAATCTCTGCTGGCCAGCCCAGAGTGTCAACAATCACTCTGTTTCTTCCATACTGAAGGTTAGGATAAAGATGACTCCAGAATTGAGTTTCATGAGTCTAATTTCAAATTCAAAGTTCTAAATTCAAAGTATTTTCAAAACTGTTCTACAGAGACTCTTTCTTGCTTTATACGATGCAAGGAATCTATAAATGTAGTAGCATTAAATGAGCTCATAATAGAATATCAACATAATAATATCATAATAATAACATAATAGTAACATAATAATAATAGTAACATAATAATAATAACATAATAATAATAGTAAAATAATAATAATAACATAATAATACCATAATAACATAATAATAACATAATAGTAATAACATAATAGAATATCAACATAATAAGAGCATCACCCATTGTAAAAACCTGAGTATAATGAAAAACATATTAAAAATTACTGATGGGATTATAAAAAAGCATCATTACATAAAGAAATCATTCACAAATGGGAATAAAATGTTCTTGGACAATACTTGGTTTGAAAACTGAGAAAAAATTCTAGAAAAGAAATACAATATTTATTCTTAAAAAAACTCAGCTTCTTAGCTGAAGAGATTTGATGCAGCTGAAGAAAGCACTAGTTGAATGAGTGGTGGGTCTGAATAATTCTTGTAGAAGACTGAGTTGTTAAAAGTTGGAAATGCAAAAGGAAATTGAATGTTGCAGACATCAGAAAGAGACTTCTAAAGTACTTCTGTGGAAAAACAGAATTTCAGAGATAATGGTAAGGATTTTAATATGTCCATAGACTTTCAATTGAAAAAAAATCCATGCTCCACAGAGGACAAATTACCATAATATCACAACTTAGAAACATCTAATTGGAACTAAATAACTACAAAGACAAAAAGAGATATTGAAATTAACCAGAAATGGGTGAAATGAATCCAAGAAGAGCAAAACACGCAATTATAGATTTCTAATCAATGTTTATGAATATTAGCATTAAATGAAATGGTGTCTAAGTGTTAGGACTCAATAAATTCAATCTAAAATTCTATGTTCAGGTAGTATTATGAATAATTTCCAAATAGTAAAAAAGGAAAGAAATAAACACTGTGACAACTTAGTTTACAGGTTTTTACTGAATGATAAAGAAAAAAGAATATCATATCTACAGTTTGAAAATGGAAAATAGAACTAAGGAAAGCAGCATTGATGATTTTAAAATCCCATATAATTTGAGATCTTAGTGACAAGATGGATCCAGATATCTAATTTCTAAGCATAAAAGAGTGAGGAAGAATTTTAAAAATATTTTGTGTCTTGGCCTGGCAGTAAAGACTACACACAATTTTTTATTTTAGATATAAAATTTATGTGGTAGGCAGAATAATGTACTCACCCATATTAATGGTCTAATTCTCAGAGCCTGTGAATATGTTATCTTTTATAGCTGACAACGTGACTGTATTGAGATGTTGAAATTATCTAGGATTATCTCTGTGACCAAATCAGTTGAGGCAGTACAGACAGAAAGTGGCAGAGGGTTCAGAGGAGATGTGATTGTGGATGTGATAGTTAAGTGATGCAAGGGGTAGCCTTTATATGGAAAGGGATTTTGTATCAAGGAATCTGAAAAACCACTAATGAGTAGAATAGCAAAGAAAAGACAATTTCACTTAGAGCTTCTGCAAGGAACACAGTAATGTAAAATTATTTTTATGAAATCTCAACTTCTGATCTCTATACTCTAAGGTAATAAACTTAAGTCACTAAGCTATGTGATTTTTCACAGTATCAATAAGAAAGTAATAGACTCTTGAAAATGAAAACTGAATCAACATTAAGCACACTTTAATATTACTTTGAAACACAAACAAGATAAGAAAGTATAGCTAGAATAAATAGAAAAATAGCTGCTGGTGGCTTACACCTATAATTCTAGGTACTCAGGAGGCTGAGATCCATAGAATCAGAGTTTGAAGCTGGCCTAGGAAGAATGGTTTTCAAGTTTCCATTGCTAATTAAATAGCAATAAGCCAGGCTAGATGAGTGGCTCAAGAGATAGAATATTGTTTGAGTGACTTATATGGAATAAACTGTGAGCAAGAAAGCTGAGTGAGAGAAGCTCTGAGCTCAAACCTGAAGTAAAATAAAAAGATACATCAAACAAAAACTAATTTATTATGAACATACTGACATTAATATCAAACCATATCTCTAATAAAATACACAAAAATAAATATTTTTACATAATAAAAAGTTATTGAAAATAAAATACAAACTTAGAATTTAAATATTTAGCTTTTAAATAAAACAAAAATTAGTAGAATCTAAAAATTTATAATCACAAGAGCTAGAAAAGGTCTATACTGCCGAGTTATATTTACATCCAGCCCTAAGGGAATTTTTAACAATTGTTCCCCACTAAAAGATGTAAAAATCAACCCCAAGTTTCTATTCAGTTAAATAATCAGAACATTGACTAGGGATACCTCATGAGCATGTATTACACACCATTCCAAAAACACATGCATTCAAAGAAGTATATAAGATTCTATATAGTTAACAACTGACAAGTGTGTTGATGGGTCAAAAAAGATGTAAATTGTAATGGTTAATACAAATTTAATTGTTAGTGAATTGGCTAAAGATTGCATTGGAATTTTAGTCATTTTTTCATTTAAGAAAAACATTTTGACCTGATAATTGAGAGAAGATTTTTTTTTAAAGAGGGTTTTCTTTCTTATTCATATACCCCAAACCAATTACACGATTGTTTATAATGGTGAAAATTGTGTAGAACCATTATAATACCACTATAATTGTGCAGAACCACCATCACTACTATAATAACAATACAATATTTAAAAACAGAAAATTGTGTGGAACCTACATGGTCAGTGGGTACTTGTTTATGTTATGTTCTAAGAATAATAGCAGTAGCAATAAAAACAACCTAATGTCAAGTAGTAAAAGAAGTTAATAAATTTTGAAATTGGGCTGGGAAGTTGCTCACTGGTAGAGTGTTTGCCTTTCATCCATGAGGCCCTTGGTTCAGTTCCTCAGCACCACATAAGCAGAAAAAAGTGGTTCTGTGGCTCAAGTGGTAGGTGCTTGCCTTGAGCTGAAGAGCTAAGGGACAGTGCCCAGGCCCAGAGTTCACCCCCCATGACCTACCAAAAAAAAAAAAAATCCATATCACCTAAAGAAATATTATCACCAACATGTTTAAAGTTCCTAGAAAGTTTTTGAAAAACTTATATCATGTGCTTCTTATAGGAATATTTTAGACCAATTCTGTTTTATAGTTAAAGACAGAGAAACATAGACATTATTTGCTTAATTGCTGTCTATCATCTCCAGAATGGAACTTACATCAAATCTAAACTCATTCATATTTTCTAAATGGTAGTGGTTCTACTTATTATATAAAATAGTATGGTGTGTTTATGAGTATTTTGGGGCAAATATAAGATATTTATATGACTGAATATGCAAGATTCAAGCTATGATCTAATATGTAAGAGTCAAAACTGTGTCTGACTTAGGAAAAATTATTATCACAGTGTTTCTAAAATAAAATATCAAATTTTGAGAACTAGTTATTTTGTGACTGACATTCTTTGACTTAGTTATATGAGAAAATGCATTCAGTCACATAGTGACCGTGTTCTAAATATTTGACAGCTGATTAATCAATCTATAGAATAAATCTTCATAGTAGGATCAAGCCTTTCTTCTTGTGCCAGTACTGGAGTGTGAACTCAGGCTGTGGACACTGCCCCTAACCTTTTTTACTCAAGGCCAGAGCTCTTCTAGTTGCAGCACAGGCCCATTTCCAGCTCTTTTCTGGTTAATTGGAGTTAAGATTTTAATGGATTTTTCTGCCCAGGGTGGCTTCCAACCATGGTCCTCAAATCTCAGCCTTTTAAGTATCTAATAATTACAGGCATCAGTCACTGGTGCTGACTTGAATCTGGTTTTTAGATAGAATTACAGGCATCAGTCACTGGTGCTGACTTGAATCTGGTTTTTAGATGAGATGATAGAGGAATATTTGAGAAGAGTAAGTGAGTTAGTTGCCTGCTATCACATCAGTGGTAGAAGGCAGGTAAAAGCTTTGATTTCATATAGAGTGGCTCCAAATCTAAAAACCTTAAATGGTAAATTTTAATAAATTGTGGTCTATGAAATCCTAAAAACTGGTAATAGCATGAACAATTCTTGAAAAAAAGGTCTCCAAGAGATAGTAGCAAAATAAAGGACAAAATTAATGATGTTTATAGCTAGATCCTAGAAACAATAGCACAATAAAGGAAAAAAATATATAGATATTTTTATAGCTAGGGCCTATAAAATCCTAATTAAAATGATCAGTCTTCATCATATTTTTGCAAGTCATATATAAAATGTTATATTGCTTTAAATTGTTTCTCTTACACTTAAATTTTCAATCTGGACACTATTTTTGAGTTTTAAGAAATAAAGATCTAATAAATATTTTCAAATGGAAAGCCATATCCAATAACAGATAATAGTTATTTTTGTAACAAAGTCATGGGCTCTGCCAAAATTCAGATGATGTTTTATTTTTGGAATATTGTATATAAAATAGGTTAATAATATCAAGATTAAAACAGTTGTGAATTTACTATATTTTAATTTCTCTCCAATCTGCTGAGCATTAAAAAGTAGTTATTCCTATTCTGATTTTCATTAAATTTTGTAGCTACAACATATAATTGAATTAATTATATAACAATTAAAATTTCTTACATAACGCATATTGGTTGTGGAAATTTTATATTTATTTTCTACTCTTTCTAGGAAAGATTTCTGTGTACACAAAGATGAACCATGTGATACTGTTGGTAAGTTTGTTAAACCTTTTTTGCTTTGCAAGCTCTGGAGACTGAAAATATGGGCTTTTATTCTCTAATATTGGCACAAGATGATCTACCTTTCATTGATCGATGGGCTAGTTCCTCACCCAGGTCGCTAAACTCATCATTTTGGCACTGAATCTATTTTTCTTTTCCTGAATGGTCAATTTTGAATTATATATTTAGGGCCATCTCTATAAATTTGATACATAGCCCCTCTGCTCTCTCTGCAGTGTTTTCTAAGCCAAAGCCAGCAGTTGTAAGTTTTTCCCATTCTGGATATTGATTTTCACAATATTCTTCACATACCATATATACAATGCATTCTATCCATCTGGATCATGCATTCTATATCTTAAATCATCCTGTTTACTGGTTTTTAGAACATTCTGGCACATATTTCTGTGCCTCCCTAGCACAAGAGAAAGAGGCATCAACTGCTGCTATATTACTGTAAGGGGGACTTGAAAGTGGCACACACCTTTAATTTTATCCATTCTGGAGGCTTAGATCTCAGCTTGGGCAAGAAAGCCCTTGAGATTCTTATCTCCAGTTAACCAGCAAAAAGCCAAAAGTAGAGCTATAGCTTGAGTGTTGTTTTGGTTTGCATTTTATTTTATGGCCAGAGATGTTGAAAAATTTCTTCATGGGTTTATTGGCCATTTGTACTTCTTCTGAGAAGTCTCTGTTTAGCTCACTTGCCCTATTATTAATTGGATTATCAATTCTTTAAGGGTTTAATTTCCTAAGATTTTTGTATATTCTGGATATTAGACCATTATCTGACATAGAGCTGGCAAAGATTTCTCATTCTGTAAGCTCACTTTTTAGCTTAACTTTGTTATATGCTAAGCAGAAACTTCTGTTTCATGTAATCCCTTTTGTCTGTTCTCTAATTTACCAAGCCCCTGGTACCTTACTCGGTGTTCTTGCTTGTGCTGAGACATTTCAGTGCTTCTTTTACTTTTTCCTATAGTACTTTAATGGTTTCAGTACTTACATTGAGGTATTTGATTAATTTTGGATTTATATTAGTTCAGGGTAAAAGAGCTACAGTTTGAATTTTCTGGATGTGAATACCTAGTTTTCCTAATATCATTTATCAAACATTATTTCTGGGTCTTTTATTCTCTTACTGGACCTGTTTTTGTCCTAGTGCCAAGCTAGTTAATTACTGTAGCTCTGTAATAGAATTGTCTTATTATACTTTGAATTATTACTTGTTATACTTTGAATTATTATACTTTTTCCCTCAGTATTGCTTTTGTGATTCAGGGCCTTTTGTGGTTTCATATGAATTTTTGGATTGTTAATCACAGTAAAGAATGTCATTGGTGTTTGATGGGTACTGAATTGAATTGTAGATTTCTTTGGGCAATACTGACATTTTTGTATTATTAATTCTGCCAATCCAGGAACATGGGAGCCCTTTCCCCTTCCTATATCTTTTTCAATTTCTTTCTTCTTCAAAAGGTTTTAGTTGTGTTGTAGATGCCCTTCATTTCCTTGGCTAAATTGATTCTATATCGAATCAGGATATTACATCTATAGTATTATTGTTTTACTATGTGACAAGTGTTGTTTAGCTACATTGTCTACTTTGAGACTATTACAAGTGCAGTTGCTTTTCTGATTTCATACTCAATCTTCTCATTGTTGGCATACAGAACTGATGCTTTTAAAAATAATCATTTTCAAGCTGAAAACTGCTGTCTTACACCTATAACTCTAGCTATTCAGGAGACTGAGATCTGAGGGTTGTGGTTCAATGCCAGCCTGGACAGAAAAGTCCATGAGATTCTTATTTCCAGTGAACTACTCAGAAAAGACCATAAGTGCCTTTGTGTCTCAAAGTGGCAGAGTGTTAGCCTTGCAAAAGAAGCTCAGTGAAAGAATCTATCTATTATCTATCTATCTATCTATCTATCTATCTATCTATCTATCTATCTATCTATCTATCTATCTATCTATCTATCTATCTATCTATCTATCTATCTATCTATCTATCTATCTATCTATCTATCTATCTGAGATGTTGAGCATTTCTTTATATGTCTATTAGCCATTCTTATTTCCTTTTCAGAGAAGTCTCTCCTTCAAGTCTAGCCCACTTATTAATGGGGCGGTTGTTTCTTTAAGGATTTGTTTTGGGGGGGATCTAATTTTTTGAGCTCTAAGAATATTTTAGATATGAGGTGCTTGTCTGTTGTATGGCTTTTGAAGATCTTCTCCCAATCCAGGGGCTTCCTATTGATCTTGCCTGCTATGTCCTTTCCTATATAGAAGCTCTGCAATCCCATTCTTTGATTTGTTGTGTTTCTGGTCCTCTATTGAGAAACTTTTGACCTGTGCCAAGGAGCTCTAGAGTTTCACTATTCCTTCCTGTTTTTACTTCGAGGTCTTTGAAACATTTGGAATTGATTCTGGTGCAGGGTGATATGTAAGAATCACCCCAGTTAGAATGGCTATAATCAAGAAATCTAATAACAAGAGATGCTAGAGGGGATGTGGACAAAAGAGAACCCTACTGCACTGTCTGTGGGAATATAAACTTGTTCAACCACTCTGGAAAGCAGTATAAAGCTCCCCTATGACCTAGCATTCCCACTTCTGCGCATTTACCCAAATGATCACAAACAAGGCTACACTAAAGCTACCAGCACTGTCGCTGTTTCCATAGTGGGATCTGGGAATGCAATGTCTGGCTTAGGCAGGAAGGGACTACATCATGCAGGTATAGACACATGCTTATATACAGCACACAAGCAGGAGAAGTAAATCTTTTGTCAGGGGGCAGAGAGTTAATCTTAAACAGTTTTACGGGAGCACAGACAATTAGAGTTTAACTTTAAGTCAGTAAGCAGGAAAAGCTAATCCTTACCGACAAATGTGGAGCAGTTTCAGTTGTAAAAGTAGGTAAAGCACAGGTGAGTACACAAAGGGGATCTCGAGGCATTGTTCTACAGGGTTAACTAGGAGAAGCACAAATGGCACTTTCCACAAACCATCACCTGAGTCTGGCACTGGACTCAGAACCTTTGCCCCACATGGAGGAACAGGTGTCCCTTTCTCCCCCAGAGGAATGCATGCCTGAATGCACCCTCACGGCACACAGAAGTTCAGATGGGCTTACCCAGGTTTATGCCTCTGACACAGCACAACTATGTTTATCACAATATCATTCACCATAGCTAAGATATGGACTCAACCCAGATGCCCCTCAAGAGATGAATGGATCAAAAAAATGTGAATTACACACACACACACACACACACACACACACACACACACACACAAATGGAATTCTATGCTTCCATCCAAAAGATTGACCCTGCCCCATTTGTAAGGAAATGGAAAGGCTTGGAAAAAATTATACTAAGTGAAGTAATCAAGACCCAAAGAAGCATAGGTCCCATGGTTTCCCTTATTTGCAATAATTAGTATACATCTAGGATAATCTTAGCAGGTGAGCAGACTAGCTCAATAACTATGTACAAATGACTATATAAGATGATGCTAAGCAAAATGAACTCCAAGACATGGACACAAGATGTTTTCTTTGCTGTTGCTGTTTTCAATGTACTATGTGATTTGTTTCTTTTGTATCTTCTTTCCCCATGGTATATCCCCCACTGTCATTGTGTTTGATTTTAGTACCCTGGTATTTTATATACATTTATTTGAATTAGGGGAGGGAAGGGGAACAACAGAATAGTGAGACAAAGGACAAGGGGGAAACCAGTGCAACAGTGACATACACAAAACAATATGTTAGAAGTAATCTGTACAACTTGGGGATGGGGTTAGGAGTAGAGAAAGTAGAAGAAAAATGAGGGAAGAGGTAACAAGTTTGACAAGAAATATACTTATTACCTTACTTATGTAACTGTAACCCCTCTGTCCATCACATTAACAATAAAAAAAGAAAACAAGAAGAAAAAAATAACAAAAGCACAAAATATAGGCAGATTGATTTAGTGGTACAGTGCCTACTCAGCTAATGCAGGCAGGTCTCTGGGTTCAACCTTCAGTACCACTAAAAAACATTACCTTCAATTTTTTCTAGCCATATTTGTTCTCAACAGAAGTATTTGCTCTTAACTACTGATATTGTATGTCACTAGCTTTGTTAAATAATGAGTATTGGATTATTTTCTACTCTACATTCTCTTCCTAGAACAATAAATAATTTACAGCAGAATAATGAATGTATATATTAGATAAAGAAAGTTTGTGATAAAGGGAGGGAATAGAAAGGATTGGTGAGAATGATGGAAGGGTACTCTGATCAAGAAGCACTGGACACTTAACTGGACATGTAAAATTGTTACCTCCCCCTTGAACAAATTTTGAAGTTCAGAAAATAAAGCTATTAGCCAAGTGAAAATAATTATTTGAGAAATTAGAAGACAGCTATTTTTCATCATTTCTATTTTATTGCATGGTAATCAGGATATTACAACTATAACAGTATTGTTTCTACTATGTAACAGATGTTGTATAGTTACATTGTCTACTAAAAAATTGGGAAGCATGTTTTGAAATGATACTTAGTTTCCAATTGTCAGGTATGAAGTGTGTGTGTGTGTGTGTGTGTGTGTGTGTGTGTGTGTGTGTGGTGTGTAGTGTGAGAATTAGGTCACACTTTCTTTATGGCGTATTTAAATTCTTAGAAATTTTATTTCAAATATTTGATTAGTTATTAAAAGACATATTACAAATATTAGTTTAGGGCTGGGAAAGTGGCTCAGTGGTGGAGTGCTAGCCTTGCAATCATGAAGTCCTGAGTTCGATTTCTCAGCACCACATAGTAGAAAAAGCCAGAAGTGGCACTATGGCTCAAGTGGTAGAGTGCTAGCCTTGAGCTGAAGAGCTTTGGGACAATGCCCAGGCCCAGATTTCAAGCCCCACGACCGACAAAAACATTAGTTTAAAAGTATCTATTTCAGGGGCTGGGAAGGTGGCTCAGTGGTAGAGCGCTTGCCTTG